AAAAAAAAAAAAAAAAAAAAAAACAAGGTAAAATTTAAGCCATTATGTGAAATGGGAAAATTTTAAAAGTTGCATATTAAAATCAACCTGAAAAGAATTATAAAACATGTATCATGCTATAATTATTTTTAATAGATAAGATCAGAAGCATGCTGTGTATAGAGCTATATGGAACAATATTAAATTACTGAAATGCATCGAAGAAAACTTAACTAGACAAACACAATGATAATGACTAGGCCTCAAATCCCAGAAAAAAGCTCTGGTCCAATGAGATGACTCAGTGGGTTAAGGCACCCACTGCCAGTTCTGACCACCTGAGTTAGATGGAGCCACATCATGGAAGGAAAGAATCAACTCTGGCAAGCTGTTTTCTGACCCCCTTAGGTACATAATGGTACATAAAAGTGAATGTGTGCCTACACACACATGAATAAATAGATATTTTATATTTTTGGTTGTGAGCCTAGCCTTTAATGGCTGAGCCATCTCTCCAGCCCAAATAGATATTTTTAAAAAGGGTAACAAAATCATTCCATGTTTCCTTATGATACTTAAATCCATGGCTGCATAGAAAACCAAAATGGTTAAGGATTTTGGAAGAAGCTACAGGTAGTAAGATTTACCTTACCAGGTGAAAGAACACTAGAACCCTTAAGGTAAGTTGACATACTATAAGTACTTTTCAAGATTGGACAAATAAAACAATGAGACTGGAAATCCCCAGAAGAGGTGTAAGGCTATGAAAATGTCGTGTAAGGTAGAGCTCCAGATGTTTTTCACATACAATGCTCTCATAACAATCTGCATCTATACAACCCCAACATCAGTGCATGCACGAAACTCAATAATGAACAAGTTATAGATGCTGTGAAAATCATGACCAGACTATAAGGACTATTGCTCCAATACGTTATAAAAGGCACAAAGCTATTTGTCTACATTAAACCTACAAAGATACACTGATATTCTTAGGATGAACAGACAAACCACAAAGGAAAAGAAAAAAATCATAAATAAACAGAACTGAATTTTTTAGCATAAGTACTTATAAATCACACCTAGAAAGTTACCAAAGGGCAGGCATTGGCACTTTCTGCATTGCTAGAGAGAAAAGTCAAATTGAGAAGTCACCTTGGAGGCTGTATGATATGTTCTTACATGTAGTAGCTATGCCTATCTCAGGATTACCAAATCTGTTCTTTGTCTGCAAGAGTGTTCTGCATATGTGCACAAGGAGACATGCCCCCAAAGTGTAAATAGACCAAGTATTTATAGAAACAAAAGCCTGGAACCAGATGTGTAATGGAGCAATACAAAAATAAATCATAGCATATTATGACACCAGGAAAACAGAATAAACTACAGCCATCTGATGGGCTGTGTGTGGATCTCAAGAATATAACAAGGTGCACAATAGTTACTAAAGAAATATGTAAAACATGCAGAAGGAAACAATATATCAAGGAGGCAAATGTGTAGCTGTGAAGAAAAGCAAGAAGGCAATAATCACAAAAGTCCTAATAGTATTGATTAGTGAGAGGGAAAAGGGATAAGTGGAATGGAGGAAATGAGCTGTGGGTACCAAAGATAAGCATTTCACTTTTACTCTTAAAGAAAATGTGGAGCAAGATGACACCATGCCAGTCTATCCCCTCCTTTATTTGTATAAAGACTTTGCATTTATTTGTGAAATTTAATGCTTCCAAAGAGAATACACTTTTTACAAACTCAGAAAAAAATCAGAATCCTGAGTAGCAGAGACATTAGAGAATCAGCCACCTCCATAGACAGCATCTCCATCATCTCCTTAATATCCAGGCCAGCATCACTTGCAGGTACCGTTATGCTGGCAGTGTCCTTTTAACTTAAATCTCACTTGTAGGTTGCTTACTAGCACTGCCTAATTAGTCCCTGTGGGCATCTGAGTTTACAGCCCTGTGTTAAGGCAACATCTGCTGATGTGTTCGTTCCATGCCAGTACCACTCATCAGTTACATAGCCCAGTGCTCTGCACTTCCACAAACTCACACTGAAAATTCTTTCCTCTTAAGACCTGACCTCTCTCCTTAGCCTCCCCTTCTGGTCTTTATCTTCATTTCTATGTTTATTTCTTGGAGGTCGCATTTTTGTTTTTTTTTTGTTTTTTTTTTTTTGTTTGTTTGTTTTGTTTTGTTTTGTTTTTGTTTTTTTCCTCAATGATAGCAGCATTCATTTCCAAAAGTCAGTAAAGTCCTCAACATTTTCCCACCGTTTTCATCTTCATACCACATAATCAGTCACATTCTAGTTGTTGATCTGTAGTCAGAAATGGATAGGTATCACTTCCAGAATGTTTTACCCTCTATGGTTCCCAAGGGCTCTTGTGGGAGATTGTTTTTCTTAGCACATGTTTAGCATATGAACAAACGGTAGTGTGTCACCCTGAATAAGAGAGACCACCAGAAGGGTTGTAAAACAGACAGTAGGGTACTTTCACATTTCTGCTCCCAGGAGGTGCTCATAACAACATGGTTCTTACATTGCCTTTTACAATGAGGCATTTTCACAATAGCTCCCTTTCTTATTGTTCTAGTACTTCCAAGGCTGAGGCTAAGAGGATAACATTCAGTTTTAAGTCTAATTGTCTGCCTCAGAGTCTTTCTGATTGCCTGGTAACATTAACAAGACAAGAATAGAGAAGAATAAAGTAAATTCTGATGTCTAAAATGTTAGCACTCTTATCTAATGAGTTCTCTAAACCCTACACATAATTCTCTTTGTTGAGTTTCTTTGGACTCTACCTCCAACTATTTTTTCACGGAATCACTCACTGTGAATGCTAGGCACAATGTATGAGCATATTCACTATTGCTGGGATTTGGTGTCACCAACATAAACTACTGAAATGTGAGAAGTACTGTGTGACTTTTGATAGAACATGACATGTGCATCACTTGGCTATGTATGGTACTACGGTCTCACTCTCATTTGTGGACATATTCTGGAAACAAACACTAAATCCATGAATAAAGAGTGGCTTTTATTTACAGGGTAACAATATAGATGGGGGAAAAAAGTTTTTCTAGAAGTGATTCAGTCTGGTAAGCAACATACTGACTTTGGTTTCTACTAAATTAGGCTCAAATCTTATTTCTGCCATTTGAGTGTAAATATAACCCTAACCAAGTCTCTTAAGTGTAACTACTTGCTTATAACAACTATGAATATTAGGACAGTAGACTGACTGGGTTTTATGAAGACTAAGATCCCACATATGACACTCTATATACAGTGTCATCTCATAAATCTTCAGTAAAAATAAAGATTATGGTTGTAGGAAGAAATAGGCAAGAGCCAGGATAGGACTCAAAGGGTAAGGGCTTGAAGTACAAGCCTGGCAACCTGAGTTCAATCCTGGAAATTCAAGCAAAATGGAGAAGAGAACCAAGCTGTCTTCTGACCTCCATACATGCACAGTGGCAATATGCCCCTCCCTCACACAAAAGAAATAAGAACAACAAAGAAAATCAGATCAAATCCTAAATGACTGAGCAGCATAGGCTCAGCCTAGGAAGATTAGGGAGGTTTTGAAAGGAGAGGCAATCTATATCAATCTGTGAAATTCAGTAAGGTGAGGGAAACACTTCAGACAAATGGATACAAAAGGTACAATAATCTACGTTAGTGATGACCTAGTGTACTAAAGAAGGGGGTGAGTTAAATGCTAAGTTAACTGGTGAAATAAGAGAAGATAGAGATGGAAAAGGGAATGAAGGAAAACAGAGTGAGATCTTTCTCTTGGGAATTGTGGAAGATAGCTGTGTCACGGGCAAGTAATATTCCACCCACAATCATAGTATTTTAGAGCAAGTCATATTTCTAATGTCAGGCCTGACTTGAACTTTATAGATAAAGAAACTGAGGCTTTGAGATAATTTAGGGAGGAAAAGAAAAAACAAATGCCTGTGGTTATAATGTTATAAATCTGGAGTCATTCAGAGATTCAGCAATCTGACCATGAATAAATTTTAATAAATAAGAGACTTTATTAAATAGTGGCCAGGACCATACATAATGGCCAGGTCTATTATCTGAGTATGGCACCAAATTACATTATTCAGGGGCTTAGAAAAGCAGAGCTCACAAGGCTATGTATGTTATGCCTTCCTGCAATCAGAGGCAAGCACACATCCTGATGTGCTTCCTACCTATCTACTTCCTGCCTATATCTGATCAAGCATATGTACTGAACAATTGAAGCAAGCAAGCTTGTTTACAGAAGCAAAAACACGGAGCTTGTTACCTTACATGAACAACAGCACCCAGCATTCCAGGAAGTTGCTGATCTTTGGGCAAGTGGGACTTACAGGTTAGAGACAGTTTTACTTTATAGATCTCTTTAAGCACAGCAATTTAAACTTAAAATATAACATTAGCCATCACAATAAAGGGGACACCTCCTGGCTTGATTTTATTTTAAATGATCTTATTTTTAATTGTATGTGTATATGTTGTGGGGTGGGGAGTGTTTATGTGCATGTGCATGCAATTGATGGAGGAGGCCAGTAGAGAGCATTGGATACCCCTAAAGCACTCTTAACCCCTAAGCCATCTCTCCAGCAGCCTAGATCTATTTTCTTAACTTTGTTCTGCTTGTGCCTTCATAAGATTCGTATAGTAGGACAGAGTGAAAACATTCTAGAAAGCTAGATGCTAAAATCTTCTTACTTTAAAAATAATAAGAATCATGGAGAATGAAAGATATAGGTAAAATTTTGGTTAATTTTAATAAAGAGAAATAAAAAAACAATCATCAGGAATAAGATAGGGCTATGATCCTAGAATATCTTCCTTTCAAGCTTTTTGAAATGTGGAGATGATAAGCCTAGAACCCTGACACTCTATGTCACAGATGTGTAAAGCAAACTCTAGACAACTTAGATCCAATGCCATGAGCATCCACTTCCTAAAATTCCTAAGCAGGGAAAAGGATCTTCAATCTGTGGCTTGTGTTTCAGGTTGGAGTCCCCAACCCGATCTCTAGTGATGGAAGCCCCGAAAGGCGTAGAAATAAATGCAGAAGCGGGCAATATGGAAGCCACCTGCAGAAGTGAGCTGAGACTGGAGTCCAAGGACGGGGAGGTAAGGAGTGGGAAGGACAGAAATTAGGAGTCCACTGGCCTGAGGGACCAACCTGTACCCTAGGTTGGTTTTCACTGAGATAAATCTTACATAGTATCAACCCAAGGAGTCCATGAGACAGTTGAACAGAATGATGACAAGCCAAATCCCCAGTACATAAAAGTTATGGTACACTGTTTGTGACATGCCAGGATAATGCTGGGTATGTGTAACCATCTCTATCTCTCTACATCTATTTCTTTCTCATAGCCTTAAAATAAGATTTTGTTCACCCACACAAAAAATTAAGTTGTATATTAAACTCATGTCACTGAAAATGAACTTAATTCACATGTAGTTATTTTATGTTGTGTGCTTGGATTCCCTTTGAGAAAGGGAAATTAAGTCTAAGCAAAACCCCAAGTCAAAACAAGCCAGAAGACAATAAGGTCAAAGTAGATGGCTAAAGAGTAAAATGTTGTTGACTCTCCTTACCCCAACACAATCCCAGTCATGGGACAAAATTCCACCTGTATTTTTAAGCTGAGTTCTCCTAGCAGCAGGAGTCTCATTTGACTAAAGATTAAAAGGGGACTTTTGTTTAAGTGTTCATAGGTGAACTGTTTCATTTAAGAATTAAAATAAAAGGGCAGCCTGACTTTTTAAGATAAAACAGTACTCCACCTTGCATATCTACTTACAGGGTGCCCAGATCTCTTATATAATTATACCCACTCAGTGGGATCTTTAAAAAAAATGTTTGGTTTAGTTAGACATTTTCTTTTTGTTGTTGTTTTGTTTTAAAAGATTTTGTCTGATGGAACCTTCCAGTGTAACAACTGCCTCTTCAGATTGCTGTGAACTGCAAACCACTCTCGTAAAAACAGAGACTGACTATATAGCCAGCTCAAAGCCACTGAAACTTGACCTCTGTGGGGGGCAGTCATAATCAAAACCCTAAGGAAACCTTTCAACATAGCTTATTTTTTTTTTTAATTAGTGCCACCATTAGAAAAAAAGCATGAGGAAGACTCACCAATCTTTTAAAGCATGGGTAATACTACATTCTTCTGTCTTCTGGGAACTTCATATTGGCCATGGGCATGATTGCCCTAGACTAATTAAAACTCTTTACTGTATCATTCCCACGTTTTTGATGCTATAATACTATTCTTATTCTGCATATCATAGTTTTTGAAAAATGCTAACATCAACCAACAAGGCATAACCTTGCTAGATTATAGGGGTGTGTGAGATTAGAAACTGTCTTCTTATTTATTGAATGTATATAAGTACTCTTTTAACTTTATCCCAGAAGAAGGCATCTGATCCTACTATTGATGGTTATGATTGCTGAGATTTGAACTCAGGGATCTCTGGAAGAGTAGCCAGTGCTCTTAACTGCTTAGCAATCTCTCCAGCCCCAATAAAGGCTGTCTTATCTCCACTAGCAACATTGTTCAACCCACAGTCAGTACTTGTGAGGTGTAAATTTAGTGAAATAGTCAGTGCTTTTTGAGTTTCAAGAACCCATATGGCAGCCTCTGAATGACTTTCTTTTCTATTTTCTCTCTCTAGATTAAGTTAGATGCTGCGAAAATCAAACTACCTAGACTGCCTCGCGGATCCTACACACCCACAGGAACGAGGCAGAAGGTCTTTGAGGTCTGCGTCTGTGCCAATGGGAGGTTATTCCTGTCCCAGGCAGGAACTGGTTCCACTTGTCAGATAAACACAAGTGTCTGCCTTTGAAGGACTATCCACAGTGGACTATTGTTGGCAGCATTGAAGCCCTTTTTGGCTAGAGACACTGGCTGTCAGTTATTTTTACTAGAACACAGAAAGCCTATCAAAGACCTTGTGTGTGTGTGTGTGTGTGTGTGTGTGTGTGTGTGTGTGTGTGTGTGTGTGGTTGTGTGTATGAGTGGATATAAATATATATAAATATATATAAATAAATATATATATCCTCTGTATAAAATGAGGTTTCAGTACAAAAGGAACCATGGGTGACCCTGTGACATCATCCACTGTCATTTTTCCACCCCATCCCCACATAACAGAATCTAAGCACTGGCTCAGCATTCCCCAGGCAATTTCAAATCACACAGTAAATTGAGCACTTAGAGAATATCCACTGATATTGTCAAGTAATCCCCTAGCTTCTCTCTTAGAGTCATTTAGAGGCAGTGATGGCGGGAATCTTTGGGTCACTCTCAAGTGATGATATATTAGCATAAAAGATAAATATTTAACCCATTTGTAATCACAACACCAGGCAAGTTGTGGTGATGGAAGCCAGCCTAGGCTACATAATGAGACTGTATTAAAAACAAAGACATTTGGTTTCCCTTTTTTAGCTTCATCCAAGCTGGTCAAGTTCTTGACTTCAAGATAAGGATATGGTATACCCATAGAAATTAGTCACACCAAATCAGAATACCCACCCTACCTTTGTAGACCAACATACTAGGAATAGTGTGGCTAAATAAATAGGGGCAGGGAGGTTGAATTCTGAAAGAATGTAAGTCACTCACCTAACTTCTACTTCTACTTGCTTTGAACTCACATATTGTCTCACAGTCAATGAATAGATGCTTGAGTCAGCATAGAAGAGGATACCAGCTCCTCTTATGAGCCAGAAGCTATTTAATGGCCTAACAGACAAAGTGAGGCATCTCATTTAAGGGAAAACGGTCTCCCAAGCTTTTAGGGTCTCACAACTCTTATCCAACAGACTCAAAATCACTAAATCAATCAGAACCCCAAAGAGTGAGCCCCAGATCCCAAGAGAAGTTATTTTAAGATGGATATTAACTAAGAGTACCATGGGGAAGCTAACTAACTTTTACAAGTTTTCTGAGATGGGTGGGCCATCTAGAGGCATGTCATATTTTCAAGGGCTTGCACAAACTCCCTTGCTTTGCTCTTGTGCATTTTGTCAGTGCTAGAGTATTTGTATTCCTGAACTCACTGTTGCATTTTTAGGAATCACAGACTTAAGAAACTACATGCTGCCAGAATTTCTCATGACAAGTTAATATAGACAGAGTTGTGTGTCCTCATCAGAAATACTGTGTCCCCTGGGGTCAACAGCACCCAACTCCCGCATATGGAAATAGTCTCTATTCCCGCCATCAGCTACCTCTTATCACCCTACCTTCATTGCCATGCCCCAGGGTCACCCTGGCCAGCTCTTGTGCTGGGACAGGGGATTACACCATCTCTGTTCAAAGAGGGGGAAATGTGCCTATGCCTTAAGCCAATGCACTCAGCAAGGAGAAGCACATCCTATTTATCTTGTTACCTGTAGTTTATTTTGGGTGGTTGGAGGGAAATGCTTTAGTCACGACTGGGCATCAGAAACTGGTAGATAAACCAAGTGGTTTCCATGTTTGGACTATGAGGAGCCCAGAATGGAGGTATAACTGGCTTAGATCATTCTTGATGCTACTAGGTGAAGCAGCAGCCCTACAATATTGAATGAAGTTGTATTTGTAGGCCTGAGTGGCACTTATTTTTGGTTTTGTTCTAATTTTTCTTACTCCACAAGCTGAATGGTTTATTATAGGAGACAAAAAAAAAAAAAAAAAAAAAAAAAAAAAAAACAAGTTTGCTCTTTCTGTATGACATGCAAGCAATAGACTGAGGTTTGCACACATGGTATGTACTCCTCGGTTGCTTGTTGCCACAAAGCAGGGACTCTTAACCTGACTCATGACTTCATGACTTGGACTTCTGGCTTCTTGGTCAAGCCTAGCTCCCCTCACCCTCTCTGCCTATCTTATGCAGAGGCACTGGGTAGGTCCATCGTAGAGCAAAAACTTAAACAGCATGGTTATCTACAAAGGCATCATGTTAGAGGCCCCAGGTTACTGGACCTCTTATATGCCCTTTCTGCCAGGATCTGCCTGTATCACACACGGGTATCATTTTTAAGTCACAAAAAAAAAAGAAAGAAAGAAAGAAAGAAAGAAAGAAAAGAAAAGAAAAAGAAGCCCTTCTTAGCTTTTAGAAGCACCTACCCCATATCCATCAGATAAACAATAACTCTAAAGTCCCTTGTGGCTAAGTATATAAAGACTACAGGGTTGTTTGGGGTGGGTAGAGGTGGTAGAGGGAGTGTTTCATCTGATTTAAGCAAACAAACTGCCATTGCATTTGACCATCTCACATCCATTGCCTATAAATAAGAAGAAAAACAAAGTTCCCTGCACCTCTTCTGATTTTATTTCCAATTGTGACATAAGTCATACTTCTTGAGAACTTTTGATAATTAAAAAATATTATGGTGCAAAATTGAATCCTAGAACAAACAAGTCACACAAACACACACAAAAAAAAGCATAGCAGTTGGGATATAAATTGAGAAATCGCTGTAGGAATATGTAATACAAAATTCTGATTAATTCTGGTTTTCAGTTTTGCTAAAGGACATCAGATAATACAGAGGATCTCTGGCCTGAAGAGATTATATACATCAGTTCAGACTAAAACCTGGTGAAAGCCATCCCTAGTTGTCAAGAAATTCCCCCACCTACCCACGCAATGCTCTCCAACCAGAATATTTGTCCGTAGTCATGAGAGACACTTTCACCAGATTTCTGTGGAGGGGATCAGCATTTTTATTAATGTCTTCTGACCCCAACTTTTTGAAAATGAGAGTTTTTCTAATCTTTATATATAATATCTTCTAGACAATCATACCCTTGAGTCTCTTAAGCAGCTGGTGGAATAACAGGATTCAAATGACTCTCCATCCTCCTAGAACTTCTGGTATGCTATCATTTTACATATCAAAACATGATCTCCAAATACAGTTATCATTTAGTTCTGTTCAGCATATCTGTTTGGCAAATCATGAGAGTTTCATTTAGAGGGACTACCTCAAGATGACATCGGTTTTGAAGAGCTTCATGATGGCATCTATCTAGGTAGGAACATAGTGTGTGGCTTCATAATTGTTACATGACTAAGGGACAGCATTTTACAGACTTGAACTTGTTTTTAGTGTCCTTCAGGCCATACAAATGGTACTGCACATCCACAAACCATAGACCAAAGATTACTTGAGTCTTGACCTATAGAAAGGGTCAATAAACTACCAACTGGAGACCAAGCCTGACTCCACAACCACAGATTTTACGTGTCATATATGAGCCATGTCATTCTTTATGCCCACCATTGACTGCACGGCCAGCAAAACAACATTACAATTATTCAGTCCTTTATAAAAAACATTTGCTGCCCCCTGAGCTATAGGTCACTTGTAGAATGTGTTAGACATAGTGGAACAGGAGGCAAACTTCTCAGGAACAAGGAATAGCCTGTGTTACCATGGGTACTTGGGGATATAAAACTTGGCTAAGGTTTTAAGAAGAAGGACATATCTAAGAGAGAAGGCAGATCAGAGGGCTGAGGTAACTGAAAAAGTGGAATGAAAAGCTTAGGAATAAGGAAGCTGTATTCTTCCACTTTTTTTGTGTGTGGGGGGGGTGAAGCTTTCTTGGGTGTTTCTTGGGTGAGCAAAGCTTGACCAGAAATGAGCCAAGGAGAGTGATCTCGATTCAGAGTCTTTTCCCTAAAAATATTTGAGTCTATCTACACCCACCAAGACTGCATCTTCCCATGTACCAGAGAGACTTCCACACCTCAGCCATCCAGAGAATACTCTTGACTTTACATGACCTCTGTTACCCATACCTCCAAGGTAGCCACTGTTCCTATAGCCCCAGAATATTTAGAAGAATGCAAAATAATAACATCTTTATATATGTAGGAATAAACTGAAATATTTCCTATGGAGCCACTTCTAGAAGTGACCAGATGAATGGCAGTTTACTTTTGCTCTTTGGAATTTGGGTCTTTTCTTTGCTCCTTTGGAGTAGAGGAAATACAAAAAAGGGATGTGTTTCATATTCATTTACCTCTGCTTCTGTGTGTTAAGGACAGTTGCTATCATAGATTTGCTCCTTTTGCTGATAGTGGTGTTTTACTTACTATTGTTAACTCAGCATTGTTATGAATGAACCTTTGTGGTTGTATTTACCTTGGAGAGGCAGGCTATGCTTCATTGAGAATGTCTACCATTTTGGGTCCTTAATATACATCACTACAGAAAAACCCTCTGCCTCCCACATGAATACATCTAAAGGACCAAGTTGGCAGACCAATGAGAGTATCTTGGTTTTACTTATTTTAAACAAAAGATGGCATTAATGCTTGGGCCAAAGCGTTGAATTGATCCATTTTTAAGTACTTGATCCTTATGCAGGATCAATAAAAGATGAAAAAATGTTATTTATGTAAGTTGTAAACAAAACCAGATCTCCCTCCTCCCACCACACACCTTATGAAGTCTGAGGTACAAAGGCGAAATGATAAAGAATCAGTTCCTGGAGTGAGACATTTTGCATGCACACTAGTAGCAGGCAGGTTGGGGAACAGTTCTAATGAAAGAAACAACCTTAGAAAACAGGCCCTTTATCTCGAAGATAAAATGTCTCTCTTGCATTTTTTCATTATTTTCCTTGGAAGAAGGCTTCCCCAGTTCCAACATATTTCCATTAAAATAGTCAAAGCTTACTGCACCAGGATGTCAGATGTATCTCTTTGTCTGTGGTAATCGGAATTTTAAATTGTCCAGTTGCCTCTGCATTTCTCATTCACAAAACCAAACCACTGATCAGTGATAAAGCAGCCCTGAGCCTGCTGCCCTAGGCAGCACAATGCACCATAGGCATTAGCACTTTCTAAAGCAATGTGATTTCTTTGAGTCTTAAAAGCTTTCTTGATAATGGAGTCCTTGAAACTTGTCAAGGTAGGTCTGAATGGCAAAGGGAAAATAATTACCCATGGGAGGTCCTCTTTCTGAGTATAGTTGGAGCACAAGTGTAGAAGAAACTCCCCAGGGGACACCCAGGCTCACACAGGTTATTGGGCCCCTCCCTCTCCCATCTTGCTTTTGTGGAAATGCACAGAGTAAAAGATATCATTATCTTCTTTTGAGGAAGAGAGAATGCCATGAACCTTTGATGCAGTAGGGAGGGTTGTCACAACACATCGATGATGCTGTCAGACCTGTGCATAAGGAGTTGCAAGTATATAGCAACAGCAATGCCAACTGCTGCCCCTTAACTTAAACCCAGTAACAGGCAGCATCAGGACAACCTTGGGGCTACAAACTGGAATAGATCAAAGGAACATTTGCCACAGGTAAGAAATAGCTTTAGAGTCGGGATCTACCTACCTATCCTACTAGGAAGCCAGAGTCCTCAGCCAAAAGCCTCACTCAGCATGTTGCCATCCTCATTGACAAGTATGTGGCTTTTGCTTCCTCGGTAAATAA